AGCAGCGTTTTGCTAGGGTGGTAAAGGAGTAGAGGAATTGGGGCTGAGACCCCTGTTTGTGGCAGGTTTTGCACCAGTTTAGATGTGTTCCCGAAATAAGCTTTGCATGGCGCATTATTTCAGAATATTGTCTGCGTCAGATTTTGCAAAGCATAACCACATTTGAGGCTCGTCAGTTGCCCTGACTGTGTATTGTGCTTGAACCAAAATTTGGCAGATTGATTTACTCTTAAAAGTACCGAGTTCGGTACCCAACCCTTACCTTAATTTATAGAAAGCAATTGCAGTTTAATTGTAATTACAATGTTGGTCAGAAAAATCGCAGTTAGATATTTTGCCAGAATTGTTCAGCCCTGTAAACATTGTCGGTGAAAATGGTGATGATCAGTTAAGAGAGCTTTAACACTTTGTTCATCCTACCACTGCGGTCGTTGGCAAAAGCTGGGGAAATTTAACCACTTTCATGACCCAGGCCCAACGTTTTATTACACACTTCTGTAACCTAAGAACAGCTCAACAGGTTTGCACTGAAGTCCCTGTAGGTACTGAATAATAAGCCTTAATAAGTCAGGGATTTTAAGGGGTAAACTGCTTTTAAAAGGGCTGTGCTGCTGTTGCCGCTGCTCCATTGAAAACGATGAGATCCGCTTTGCCGTTGACTAATATCATAATGTAAATGCAGTGTTACAGCAGTCATGTGGGATAGTGCTTCTCAAATGTACAAAATTGCTGAAATCTAAACTGAAACCTCAAGTTCTGTTAGTTTACGATAGCATTTTGCTGGGATGTTAAAAGAGCATGGAGTGGAGAGGTTTGGGAGGGTTTTGGACCCATGTTTGCTCCCCCGGACGTGTATTGGTCATTACGAAAGCATATCTGGCTATGATGGGGTGAGCTGTACTGTTCTCTGTAAGTCTGCAGAGTCTGTTGACTCAGTGCTTTATCCTCTAACAAACTTCACTTGAGTTAACACATTAACGGAACGGCACTTAAGATAGCGCTGGGATTCCCCTGAGGGCAAAAGGTCAGCACCAGTTGACGAGGGCACGTTAGAAACAGTATTGAACCCTCCTGATAGGCTCTGTTGAACTGTCTGCAGTGATTATCTTCGCTCCGCTAAGGTCTCTAGTACCTATATATATTATGATGTGCACAGTTTATGGCTGAAATCTGTTTTCAGGTGTAGCTGTGTAGATCAGCCTGTAGCAGACAGTGATACTCCAGTGAAAATATAATATCGCAATACTTCACGAAATTTTCACGATACACGATAGATCACGATATTGATTTGTTCAGACATCTGAGTAGTTGGAACAGAAAAAACGAACCAGTAGTGTTACATTAAAAAACAAAATACTATCAAAAACTGTGAACACAGTGATTTTTCTCAGTATTTGGCACTAAATCCAGTTAAACGGACTAATTTTGCTCTTTTTATATTGAAACGTGCAGTTGGTCAGTGTCTACAAGCACTGACGATAAACACGTTCAGAAAAGCGTGTTGTATTGTGTCATAGTTTATCACAATAATGTCATATACATATATACATATATACATATATATTTATATATGTCGTTGTTGTGATAAACTATGACACAATACAATATGTATACACACACACATATATTTTTTTCCCTTGGTCCTTGGGTTTTGAAAGGCGCTGTATAAATTGAACTTAATAATATTATTATTATTATTATTATTATTATTTTATATTGACATCTTGCCCAGCCCAGACAGGCTTGGCACTTGGTCTAATTGGTTTAAAGCAGTAAGTTTATGTTCTGCTTCACAGCAGGACTGAGCAGACTGACCAGGAGATAAGAGACCGGACGTGTTAGTCTTATTATCTAAGCGGCATTATCTCTCTTCATGCCTCACTCGATATCTCTGTGTATTCTTCAGACAGACCCCCATTCACAAACACAGTGTTGAGTGGTGGAGATACTTAGGAAGTTCAAATGTTCAGTTTTTCGTGATAATTTTCCTGTATGATGCAGTGTTTATGGAAAACACTGGAACCATCCAGAAATACTCTGGTAACTCAGGTAGCCCAGCTTTATTATTATATATATTATTCTTTACACACGCATATAGCAGAGTGCTTTACAATGTAGTAGGAGGTTTAGAATTTAATTCAGATTTATTATCATATAAATATGTAACCGTATGATATTGACATATAATGTGATGTCCGATGAAGTTGCCTGGTATCACGATGCGATGACAATATGACGCTAACAGCCTAAACGGCTCCATCATTAATATCACAGGCTTGAATTAAAGTACTACGGTATGATTATCTGTAAAACTGCAACATACAAGTCTAAAGAATGTCACTTAAATGTCTTACAGGCTTCAAATGTTCGTGTTTCAGTCAGAAGTTGCGTCAAACCCAGGCTGAATCCCAAACAGCTCCGTACTCCCTAAATAGTGTTCTAGCTATGGAAGTTTAGAAATTCTACCCTCTACAGTCAAACAGTGCATCATGTATCGAGTGTGGATGTGTCTGAATCCCAAATGACTGTTTCCACTGCAGGATCCAGTATTTAAACTCAGCCCCAGCGTGAGAAGAGGGGCCGCTGGATTGGTGCTAAATAAGACTCGCGGTGGTGATTTGGTGACCAGAAAGTACTTATAAAGCGAAGGTTTCTGCAGTAAACAGTGCTGTTATCATATGTTCATTGTTACAAAACAAAATGTCGCTCCCGGAGGATCAGCTTCATCTTCACCAGCATCACAGGAGCCATCATGAAGCTTCACTGACTGACAGCTGGGCTCGTCACCCAGAATGTGTTCGAGCCGTAAAAAGGGGCGCGGTCACTTCTTTGGTTCGCGTCCTCGGATTTTTTAAACTTTGCTTTCAGGCTTTTAACTGTTCTTCGACGCTGCAGCCTCGTTCTCCTGCGGCCGCGTTCGGACATTTCTTTCGAAATCTCTTCAAACACGGAGGGTTTTGGATCAGTCTCTTCTAATTTTGTACAGAAGTATCACCCCAAAGGTTTGAGTCTCAGCAGCGCAAAATTATGACGAATGTCGAGTTGGATTGACGTAAAAGCCGCATGAATTCCGATCTGGCTGTTGAGATGATTTACATTAAGATATGCAGAACATATTTACAGTACAGACCTTGTCAGAGAACTATGAGGGCAAAAAAACAAACACAAAATAATGGCTCATTAATCGTAATCGAGGTAAAATGTTCAGTTAATCTTGATATTGATTTGAGGTCATATCGCCCAGCACTACTTAAAACACAACATTGGGTGTGAGAACAAACCTAATGTTTGAGTGTTTGAGCTGTGCATGTGTGTGTTGTGTAATTGGTCATTTAACTGAATGGTTAAACTGATATTTCTTTATGTTTATATATATTTATATTCAAGAAGTACAAAAAACAATAAATATATAATAAATACAGAATAAACTAGGGACACAGAAGTGAACTGATGAATGCGGCTCTCTCAGAGGGAGATCCAGTGTGTAAATTATGCTTAAGTGTTCAGTAAACAATGTTATGAATGTGTGTTTAAGTGTGTGTGAAGGCAGTCAGCAGTAACAGTCTGCTGGGTGTTGTGGGTGTGACCAGTTTACCAGCGCGAAGGGGAAAAATCCTGAACAAACTGTTCGGCTTGACAAGACTTGAAAATGGATTGGTTGAATGTTGAAATCGCTGTAAATGCTGTTTTAAAGCTTTGTAGATGTGGGTGGTTGGGTGCTGGGTTGCTAGGTAGTTGATATGGTGTTCCAGGTGGTTGCTAGGCGTCTGCTGTGGTATTTTTAGGTGGTGGTTTAGCTGCTAGAGCGTTGCTAAACAGCTGGGAGGGTGTGCAGGGTGGTTGCTATGATATATTAGCCGTGTGATTAAACAGCCAAGTCAGCATGTAAAATGACTCAGAATTGTTCACAGTGGTGGTGATAGGAACCAGACGTCCACCTCTAAAAGCGGTAGATTTCTCTGCATATGAGCCATTATGACAGGAAATTGGGGCAACTTCCCCTTTAACTGTCCGGTTTGGGATGATCTGAGTAAAGGACTCAAAGTGGAATTTTGGAAAACTGCTCGGCAGCAGAACCTTTATGGTCATTCGGTCATTATTTTGCTCATTATTTATAAAATATTTTACAAATTGTACTGATAATAATCAGTATAATTGCAGAAAATCAGATTTTGTCAGTAATCCGATCAATACGTTTAAATGCACTTGTAATCAGATAAAGGGGGAAACTCTGGGTGTACGTGAGTCAGACAGTAATCAGATTAACTTAATAATAAACTTAAACCTTATACCGCGGCTTTACCTGAAAATATTAACTTGCATCATCTAGAAAATGAAGAATATTCAAATCCTTTATTTCGTGTTTGGTTTCAGCGCCGCTCCAACAGTGTTTTGCTGTGTCTCGCGACATCCACTGTCTGATCTCGCGCAGACTTAGAAATCCGATAGAAATCAGAGTACGAGTTTACATACACTGAGAAATCTGATTACGGAGCTAAAATCCAGCCTCTTTATCGGATTTCTTAACCGGGTTTCTAGATCAGAGTATGGTCTTTACATGACTTTTTGAATAATTGGATAACTGCAGAAATCCGGTTATGATCGGATTATTGAGTGCGTATACATGCACAGTACAGACGATATCACAGTATAAACGATATATCGTCCAGCACCAGCAGGATTCCAGGTTATGTGTGAGTTTTGAGGATTACTGTTTAAAATACGTTGAGAATTGTTCTGCCTCACTGTGTTTTAGAATATTTTACATATGATAGAATGTTGATCTGCTTTGTTATGATGTTTGTAGCCTACAACTGACTCGCTATACGAGAATTTGTCTCATGAAGGCCCCGTCAGCTGAACTGATTCTAACGTGATTCTAATCAGCGATAGAGAACAGACTCTCAATAATAGACACCAGGTGACTTACAGTGTAATGATTTACCACTGTTTACCCTGACTAACCTCCCTCTCTCTGTCTGTCTGTGTTTGCCCCGTAGGCGAGTTACCCGGCCTGGGAGGACTTTGTCACGAAAGGGGCCAAACTACAGTCTCAGCTAAGGTAAGACTGACTCCTCCCCTTCTTAACCACAGCATAACCGTGAAAGGTGGGGAGATAATGGCGATCTTTACTGTGCTCTTCAAAAGCTGGAAATGCAGGCTGTTGCAGCCGTAGGCTAGATGTTAGTATATTTACCGAAATGTCCTCGTGAGCTGCTTCAGGGAGACGATTCAGAGGAGAGAGATACTAATGAGAGAGAATTGTATGAGAAAATGAATGTCTACACAAACAAGACATGGGAATTAAAGAAGTGTTCCACCTTTTTTCCTCATGTTGTTCAGTGTTTGAGATGTAAACAAAGTGGTTTGGTGTGAAATGGTTCAGATGTCTTTACAGTGGTGGTGATAGAAACCAGGGGTCGCCATGACTACAACACATATATAAACATTTTATTTACTATCCAGAACCACCAGTGAACCTACACGAGTCTTCTGAGTTTATATGAATGTTGATGATGGAAAATAGTGGAAAATCTGGAATAATAAATTTTCTTTGGGGACTATTTTGCCTCACAGTGCCCTGCATGTATCCCTCCACCGTGAATGTGTTCTAGGCAAAAACATTGTTTTATGAAAGTTTTGAGATGACGTCAGGCAGCATATTTGGAACCATTGCAACCAGTAACTTTCTCTGAGATTCTCTGAGCTTTTAAAGGCGTTAATTACTTCAGGTGTCTGGTTCCTATCACCACCACTGTGGACAATTCTGACTCGGTAAGTTTCTCTAGAATGCAGCGTTTCACACCAAACCACTCTGAACCACTCTGAACCGCTCTGAACCACTCTGAACCGCTCTGAACCACTCGGAACCACTCTGTTTACATCTTATATATTGAATTATGGAGAAATACAGAAAAATCTGTTGAATTCCCTTTAATACACACCTGATCGGAGTTATTGATAGGGAAAAAGCATGTGAACTTTTTTCCAGTAAGAAAAACAAGGAAGACTTCTTTCCAATCCTTTTGAAGACCACCTGACAACGATCAGGGAGATGTAAAAAGGATGCACCAATATGAGATACGCTATCTGATATTTTTCACACACATCTTAACCATTTAATTAGGTGGAATTTTTAAAAAATCGGTGGAGTTCCCCTTTAAGCAGTGCAGAGACTGAAGCTGAAAGGAGGAGATAATCGACGCTGTCAGATCAACACTGTTTTTAAATTACACCTGCCGCTCTTTACGTTCGGTGAAGATTACCTGACATACAGACCCAAACAAAGGGTACAAAATTCGTCAAATATTTTCTTGAATGTTTGTTTTTTCATTCTCTTGAAAAGTCCCGGTGAGTGAAAGAAAGAGAGTGAGGAGGATATAAAAGGGGAAAAAAGTAGAATATCTGGACGAGAGCCTCGGAGCTGACCCCTGGGTCACGAGCGTTTACAGTCCGCGTCCTGTCTGCTTGCTCTCTTGCCGCTCTGTCCCCACAGAGTAAACAGTAAACAGGATAATGACCCTCCCAGAGGTCCACTCCACTCTCGCAGATAAACATCAAACACGCTCCACTCACACAGACAATTTACTGCTGCCAGCACCGCCGACTGGCCTCCTTCCAGCTGACCCCAGTAGGACTTCTGCGGTTTGTCAGTGCTGTGAATACAGAGAGATGCATATTCATGGTCGATTTTGTTTTTTACTTATAATTATTTTTTAATGGGGTGGCAACCCAAATGTTAAGAAGAGCCATTTTGTCCTTTCAACAAAAATTATACCACTTTGGGAGCCACAACATTTTATATTCATTTTACCATCTTGGCTGTAAGTAAGTCTCAGTATGTACTGATTTACTAGTGAAGGCTGAAAAATGTAAACAAAAACACAGACTTACTTTGCTCTGCTTTAAGCTTTAGCACAACTACAGCCACTTTTCTCGCATCTCCGGCAGGAAATGTTTCCTCAAAAGTAGAACAGTTTCTTATAAAATGTGTCTTAATGTTCGACTTTTTACGAGGCTGAAGTCGCTTCTCATTCTCCAGCTTCTTGTTCGAATTTTCCCGTTCCACCTTAAATGGTGCCTGAGGCGCCAGAATGTAACTGCAGTCTTTAACTCCAGAGTTTAAGACCATTTACTGTTAAACTGTGTTGAACGATCAGCAGAGCTTTATTTTACTGTAAAGGAGGATTATTTTATTTTTACCTACTAATCTAATTCAGCTGTGGAGCCACAACAGGATAGTAGAAGAGCCGCATGTTGTCGACTCCTGGAGTAACCAAAACACTGCTTTTCAGTGTGCATAGACAAAAAAATATCCAGCGTTCTCAATATTTGTGTCGCAAAATTCTTTAATGACAGGTAAAAAATATTCAGAAATCAAAGAATTGTAAAGCCGTTTAATTAACCACATACATTTACCTCTTTTATAAAAATCACACACTTTAATGCGCCGCTGTATCAGTCTGTTTAAACCAGAGAAGATAAACATGCTTGTGATTCTGGTTTAGACATAGAAAAAGCGTTGTTTTTGGTGTGATGTGGTTGTTGCTGTAGGTTTTCGTGCGCGAATGCGATCTCGTGCTATAGTTCCTAATATTGTGTTTTTTGTTATAATGTTGATTTTGGTGCAGCTGGCCTGTCACAATTATTACATATTCGCCAATATGTAATAAATAACACACCATTAACAAAACTTCTCAGGAGTGCTGATCTAGGATCTGTTCCTGTCTGTAAAGTCAGAGCACATAAAAGGGGGATCTGAAGCCTGATCAGCGCTTCTGTTCGGAGAAGTTTTGCGAATTGCGTGTGATTACATGTTTCCACCAGAGAGGTCTCCAAATCCCCAAACCCTACATAGTGTTTCTTTAATAGTTGCGTACAGTAAATAATTAAACTGTTAGTCCCAGTTGTTTAAATGACAATCATCAGCTAAAACCTGATGATCGTGACAGGCTCAGTATCAGCTGGGTTCTAGCAGCTGCTCCTCCTGAGGTTTCGTGTTCACATTGAGGGTTGTAGGCTTGTGCAGGGCTGGGGGGCCTCTTTGGAGAGCTGGGCGGTGTTGAAAGGCAGTACTTTGTAGTTCATATCACCTGATACCCCAGAGTTTTCTGATAAACCAGCACTAACAGATCTCTCCACAGAAGAGGGGCTCTGAATAGCCTCCACAAAAGCACCATTGACCCTGTTAGCGTGTCGCTGTGTCCCAGCCTCCTGGCACAGATTCAGCCCAGTACAGACAGAGATACTTTATCTAGGAGTTCTGCTTTTCATGCCTTTTATTTCCAAGGAGTGGAGTAGAGAATCGTTCCAAGTAGATAACGTGACGTTACGCCGAGTCCCTCACCTCTCGTGTACTGAGCTGCAGCCTGAGGTCAGTTAGTCCAGTTTATGGTCAAAGCAGCGTCATCAGACTGTAATGAGTTAATGAGTTAATGGAGAAATGGAGCGGGAAGAACAGCCAGTCTCTTGGGGTTAGCCGTTAGCCATTATCCTAGCATGGAGACTAGCCGGCTCTCCGTGTGCTCCACCTATGGGGTTCCTTGCTCGGCCGGCTGCTTTAGGCGACGCTGCGGTCTCGGCCTACAAGCCAAGAAGCTCCACAGCTTCTCACCTAAAACTGACAGAGTGAACGGCTGTAATATTTACTAAACTCCAGCGTCTGACGCTCTGAGATTAAAGCTGGAGTGTGAGAGACGCACAAATGAGACAAACGACTTCCAGATGGAAAACTACATTCAGCAGCGCTTAGAGACGCCGCAGTGGGCTTTACACACACTCACCTTCATCTCGCTAGGGTTAGAAAGAAATACTGAAATATATGCATATTGATCATTTCTGTTTTTACTGTTTCGCCCAGTAAAAATGTTTTACATTTACTTCAGTTGATAAATACGGTTCTTATTAAAATGAAGGGACGTCCACAATAATACACCACTGTTAATCTGCAAAGTGTTTAATTAAGCATGCAAAATTGTTTTATTTGAAAAAAAGAACATAAATGCACTATACATATAGTGATATATACCAAAATCAAAAAAAAATATATATATATAGATATAAATTTGTGCCTGTACAGCCCCCTATCAATTCCAAGGCACAGTATTATTATTATACGTCCTGTTGTAGTGTTGGGTGATACGGCATGAACATAATTTTCATGACACACAATATGGCAGAATATTTATTTTTTGACATTAATAATAAAAAGGAAAAAGTAGTGCCACATTAAAACTATGAATACAGTGGTTTTACATACCGCACTGCCTTAAAATGACTGGGATTAATTTAGCTCTGTTTGTAATAAAACAGGTGGTTGTGTTCTACAGGTACTGGCGATATCCACAATATGTTCAGAAAAGCATGTTGTGGTATATAGTGATGTAATGTAGTGCAGTACCGTATGTCCTGTACGTTCAGAAGTCGCTGTCATGCCCATTTTACAGAGAGTAAAATATTAAAAAGTTTATATGATACTAAACTTGGATGTTCTACTGATCAGTCAGCAAAGCTTTAATGAATAATAAGAGGTATAAATATGATAAAACTCAGGGGCAGTTCAGGGGCTGCGTCCTTCGGAGGCTGCATTTGAAGGCCGATTGCGTCACAGCGGCGCGACTAGACTGTCCCATCCTCGCCGTCCTTGCATCCTTCGCCAGCCAACATATCCCGAGGTTCATTGAGTGCCGGCAAGGATTCAAGAACATGGCGGCGTCAGCAGAGAAGCGAACGGCGTCTGAAGAGACACGTCTAAATATAAGTATTGGGTTTAAACTGAGTCGAATGGCTAATGATACAAATGTTAAAATAATTAAAAAATCTCATCTGAAGCATCTCCAGCTCTAATGAATAAAAAAGTAAACAACCAATATCAAAGTTTCTGGCTCCATCTGTAAAGAACGTGACAGGAGCGGCGTTTCGTGGCTCAGCGGTAAAGAAGCGGTAAAAGAGCCGACGTCTCATCGGTTCAGCCTTCGCGGAGCTAAGCAGCCTTCAAAGGACACACCTTCACAGATCACATTCTTCGAACGATCCAGCCCCTGAATTAGGACACACTGCTAACCGGCTCCGCCCCTCATACAGAGCTAAAATAGTTATCCGGCATTAATGTGACACTAATTGGACGGAAAAAGTCACAGACGTGCAGATGGATGGACGGATGAAGGAACAGACGAACGATCAATGTTGGTGTCGGGTAAATGAGTGAACAGGCGACAGGCAGCTACGGACAGGTGGGCTAGCTTGCTGTCTTTTGGTTATGCTGGGTAGCTTTAGCTCTCTAAGCTTCTGACTCTGAATCTGTTCTGTGTGGGCGGGGCCAGAGACACAGCCTTGTGATTGGTCAGGGGAAATGTTTATAGAAGTGTTACCCAAGATTAGGACCCAGTTTACACTGACAGGAGAGAAATATGGTGAAATATATTGTCATTTATTGGTCGTTGGAACATTATTCAGAGGGAGAACTGAGTACATGTTTACATGTTTACTGATTAACCTGATTAGAAGGAAAACACAGATTTAGGGGTCTTTAGAAGTGGTAATATTGGGGATCTTGAGTGACAGTTGACCATGAAGGTTGTCCCGTAGTTTGGAGTGTGATTTCTGCTGATGCAGTCCGTGAGGTCCAGCTGTCTCTTCTGCTCACTGAATGGAGGGAAAAGCCTGATCCCTCTGTTCCTGTCAGTTTAGAGGGATGTTTGCCAGGTAGGTCATGTATACAGATCTGGGCAGTTACTGCTCTCATTCAGGCACAGTCGAGTCTCATGACCGTACACGAGTAACGGCTCGAATGATGGGCGGAATGGCACCTGTCGTGTCATAGAGGAGACCCAGTGGGTGGAAATTGTAGAAAATAAAATCAATTATTTTATTGTTCAACTTAAACCAGTAATTTTTTTAACTTAACAGTTTTTTTTATTCTTAATTACTAAAGTAGTTTAGATTTTTTTTCCAGCACCATTCAGATGCTGCATAGTCCGGGACTACAGTCTTAAAAAGATGGTTCTTCAAGGGTTCTTTAGTAAAGAATATGGTTCTATATATAACCATGAACACTCAAAGAACCCTTAGCATGATGTAAGCGTTCTTCAGATTGATGGAGAATGTGCCTCAGATGGTTCCTTATAGAACCTTTTTGAAAAGGGTTCTATATAGCACCCCGAAGGGTTCTTCTATTGTTACGATGCCAAACTTGTTACTATAGAAAAACTCTTTTTGGTGCTACATAGAACCATCTGTAGTACGTTCTCCATCAATCTGAAGAACTCTTTCGTCATGTTCTTGAGTGTTCATGGTTCTATATAGAACCATGTTCTTTTATTTATTTATTCTACTTTAGTTTTTGTTTGTTCAAAGAAAAATCCACTGTTAAAAAGACATATTTTTAAAAAAAGTTCAATAAATGTGTGATGTTTTCGAAGTCACTGAGTAATTGTGTTAAACAATTAATATTGACCAAATCAATCATGATAATGATATTTGCCATAATCGAGCAGCCCTAGCGCTGGGGGGCTGGGCTGGATTGGCAGAGAGGGGGTCACAAAATATTTTTAACCCCAAAAAAGAGTCACACCGTGAAAAACCCAGGTTTTAGCCTGTGTGTGGAGGAGGTCTGCGTTACGTTGATGTAAATGTGTGTTTACATATTTTTTTTCTAATAACTTTTTAAATATACAATAAAACAGTTAATTTGTCATGTATTGGGCAGCTTTCAGATTGTGTCTCAGTTCTTGCCTAATGTTGGAGTTTGACCTTCAGTGGAAGAAGCTCGCTGAATAGTTTTTCCGACGTGTGGGAGGAGAGTTAATGACAATACCTGCGAGTTTAGATGCCTGGTGAAGGAATGCGGAGGGGGATTACTCAGAGGGATGACACATGAATGTTTGTTCAGGAGTCTGTTGAACACTTTACTGCTGCAGGCTGATTGCTCTAATGACCTGACTACCTACTCGCTCTCAGAGAGGAGCGTTAGCGCGGCCAGACGAGCGAACTGCAGTGCTGAGAATGACTCTGAATGTCCCTTTCATTTATGTTCCACACATACAGCAATGCATAGTTATTATATACACTCTGAATTTAACATAGTGGGAAAAATAAAACATAAAATGTGGTGCAGGGGTGGGCGATATTGCAGGAATATCACGATTTTTCAAGATATATAGTATGCATGTAGCCGCATTTAAGGAATACTGTAGTAACAGTAATAAACCTACAGCTACAATGATTTTTATGAAATGCTTTACAGACCGCACTGCACCCAATCCAGTTAAACACGGCTATTTACGCCCATGTTGTAATGAAACATGTAGTTAGTGTTCTTTAAAGCATCTCTGTGTAATGTTTTTTGTAAAAATGAAAAAAGTAGCGATACTGTGTACAGAGAAAATAAGGTGTGTCGCCCTGCAAAGCCTAAAATAATCATTTAAAAGTCAGAGGTACCGGATACACTGACGTGGTGGTGGTGTGTTAGTGTGTGTTGTGCTGGTCTGAGTGGATCAGACACAGCAGTGCTTCTGGAGTTTTTAAACACCTCAGTGTCGCTGCTGGACTGAGAATAGTCCACCAACCAAAAACATCCAGCCAACAGCGTCCTGTGGGCAGCGTCCTGTGACCACTGATGAAGGACTAGAGGGTGACCAACACAAACTGTGCAGCAGCAGATGAGCTATCGTCTCTGACTTTACATCTACAAGGTGGACTGACAAGGTAGGAGTGTCTAATAGAGTGGACAGTGAGTGTTTAAAAACTCCAGCTGCACTGCTGTGTCTGATCCACTCGTACCAGCACAACACACACTAAAACACCACCACCACGTCAGTGTTACTGCAGTGCTGAGAATGATCCACCACCCAAATAGTACCTGCTCTGTGAGGGTCCATGGGGGTCCTGACCACTGAAGAACAGGGTAAAAGGGGGCTAACAAAGTATCAGAGAAACAGATGGACTACAGTCTGTAACTGTAGAACTACAAAGTGCACCTATATAGTAAGTAAGACTAGGTCATAATGTTATGCCTGACCGGTGTACATTAAAACCAACCTTAAGCTATTTCAGCTTCTCGGTTTTGCGATGGTCGTCACTGTCCCTCAATTTAAATATTATTAAAAATATAACTTCATTTCACTTAGAAAACCAACATATTGGAAAAAATATGGTTAATCATGGAATTTCAGCTACATCAATACAGCTTTATATGTCCGATAACCTTGTGGCGATGCGCTGGGCGCTGTATTTGTATTTTTAAATTTACTTTTACACTCCGCTTTAATGCGCGAGTGAAACGGCTACATCCTAAATACAACAAAACGTCATTGTTAGTCGCTCAAGCATTGTTTATACAGTCTCCGTCTTCTGGCAAAGCCTTACCCTAGATGTTGGAACATTGCTGTGAGGATTTGATTGCATTCCGCATTCATAAGAGTATGAGTGTGATCAGATACTGATGTTGTGGATCACAAACGTCACTCCAGCTCATCCCAAAAGCAAAAAATTGTTTTTCATAAGATTCATTGTATTTAATAAAGGTTGTTTAGTCCAAATTATAGTTATTCCTGTTGTAAAATCATTTGACATTTCTGAGAGAATGCAGGAATGTCAAGATATGCCAAAGATAAGCCAAAAAGCTGAAAACTATTGTTATAAATGTTTAAGCCTTTTTCTAGCATCTTCGATATGATAGCAAAGGTATAGAGTATAGAATATAAGTAAGTCAAGTGATCACCAGCAGCCGACTTCCTAACCGTAATATTATACGTGGTACATTGAAAAGGACAGATGACGATCACATTTCAGGGTTCTGGTTTGAATAGGAGTGTCTGTTCTACTGATTATACGTCTACGTGTTCTATACTGTCGGTTTACTTTGAAAAGCCGCTTCCTGTTTTTATGTAGTAACAATAGCAGATGTTCATTATAAGTCACTGTAAAGAGATTAAAGTATTTACATAATTGAAACGTGTCTGTTTGTCTCTGTGTTTCTTAGGACGACCATCATTGTCACTGGCTCGTTTCTGGACGCCTTCCAGAAGGTGGCTGACATCGCAACTGGAACACGAGGTGAGAAGGTTCACGCTCTGTCAGTTGTTTTCCTGTGGTGGTGCTTTCCCTCTCGTAGCAGATCATAAGGAGTTGAGCAGCCTTGATTAGTCTGAATTCTCATAAGTCTGAGGAAGCCAAAGAAGCGTTTAAAACTGTTTATCTGGGCAATAACAGTGTTTTTGACAGATAAACACAATATAACATGAGAAGAAATACAAATAAACATAAATGCAATGAAAAAGTAACAGGAATGTTTTGTTTTTAGAACGTTTTTAAAAAGTTGGTTAGATGAACAGAGTTAGATGAACACAGGTTTGGTTCCTGACTTCTCGCTGCATGGATTTGTTCCACCTGATTTCATTTAAATGGCTCACATCCTGTATTTTATGCATTTTGTTGAGCTTTATTTACTAAAAACAGTCATTCACTTTGTGCCGTTTTCCAACTTCTCTCTATCCTTTAGAATTAAAGAGGCTGTTTTTGTTACTTTGCCTTTAAGACTGATATGTAAATAGTGTGGATGGACAGGGCAAAACTGTTGTAACCTGGATAGGTGGCTATACATAAATGCAGTGGCCTGTGGTTTTGTTTCTGTATTTGGTCTGTATAGACTGTGGAGCAAGACACGAAATACAGGGGGTCCTGGGGCATCTGGGACCTCCTAATTAACTTCTTGGACCCCCTAAATGTCTGAAAGTCAAAATATCCCGAAGAGATAAACCTATGACGTTGCGCTGTCATTGTTTATCTGCTTCACCCATAATCAGCTTCTGCCTCTGGTGTTCTTAACTAACTAGAGCTGCAGCACTGCTCTGCCTCAGGGTGGCGCTGTAGCAGACTGTTGGTCCTTCATAGCCTAGAAACTGTAACTCTGCCCGGATTCCTCTGAAAAACTTTACAATGAGCTGCAGCAGATCTGAAAATCTGAAAACTCGCCCAGTTTCCCAAGAGTTTGGAGTGAAGAGTGACTGTTCCTCATTTCTCACACCGAAGACAGAAGAGGAGACGAGGAAGATCTCAGTTACTGTGAGGAAGAGCGCAGAACCGCACTAGAACAGAGACTCTACAGAAGAGGAGACGAGGAAGATCTCAGTTACTGTGAGGAAGAGCGCAGAACCGCACTAGAACAGAGACTCTACAGAAGAGGAGACGAGGAAGATCTCAGTTACTGTGAGGAAGAGCGCAGAACCGCACTAGAACAGAGACTTTACAGATTAAGGATTCTTGTACCAAACATTGCGTTGCATTAGAAGCATCAGCGCCGCTATAGAGAGATAGAAGCCAGACAACATGGGACCCCCGAATACCAGGGGGGGATATTCACACTACTGTGGAGTGGATGTTTCTGAAACTTTAACGTTTTTACCTGCTGTATCAAACTCTTACTTTGAAAAAGCAAGAACAGTTTCAATTTACACAATATGGGCCCTGTAAAAACACTCTATCACACTGAATAATCACAACGTACTGTTTATTTGAATTTATTATAATGTTTGTGGTTTGACAGATGTGCCTCTACAAGTATGACTCTTACAGTGTTTTCGCGTATAGTTTGTTTTAAAAGAACTGAACTGAGTTCTGTTAATGTGAACCTGGAAGGGAACCAACTGCAAATGACCTCAGTTCATTTTGTGTTCACAATGTAAGTGAACTATAAAGAGGACTCGGTTCTCTTTCTGGTCCTTCGAGATCTCAGACCACTTTTTGTTCAGACCATTGGAACTCGAGAGGAGCCGCCTGCTGCTCTCCTATTGGCCACGCTGAAACGATTGGCCGAAGTGCATCGTGAAAAATGACCTTGTAGGTCTGCCACGGTGGGTTCCATTTTCGGCTGTGCTCCTCACTGAGCTCCACCCGGCGAAACTCCGCATCAGCGGTGAATTTTCATTCATTCAGCGTTCAGCATGAATGCAGCTTCAAATTGCGCTGCGTGCCCAGCTTGAGCCTTTAAAACGGTGAAATCACGTGGGCTCTCGCATCTGAGTGCTTTAACATGTCAGGGCTGCTGTCTTGTCACAGATCACAGACAGACTTTATCCTGAGTAGAACCTTAGAAATGATCCTTGGTCTGTTTTTACCTGCTGAAGTGCTGAAGACTGTGTCTGTGTGTACACTGAGCCTCGAGGTCTTCGCCATAAAGCACAGCTGAACCGCACTGGGGCCGTTTTGTTTTCACAATGTACAAATCAATCGAACTACAAAACGAACTACAAACAAACTGGTGGTCTCAGTTTGGTTCGTTTTTGGGGCCGTTTAGAGGGTCTGAGCTCGTTTTGCTGTTCACATATGCAAAAGAGACCATGACTCAGCTGTCTGAGTCCACTTCAGACGCTGAAACGGCCCAAGTGTGAAAACGCCCTTAGAATACTTAAAACTGTCTGTCCTCTTAACTGTAATGAATTAAAAGCGTTCTGTGCTTAACTGAAGTGGAACCAAATGCATAAAATTAGGAGCAGAGTTAGAGAGATACCATAACCACATACCAAATGGTACTCGGAGTATAAAGAGTTCTGTGCCAGGATTTTTCTCTCTCCACTGCTGTAAAATTTATTCCATTGCTCTGCTCCAGGAAGACATGTAGATACACGTCCATCACCTTGAGCGGTGGTGTTGAAGACTGGGCTGCTTGTGTTCAGTCCCAGCGTTTTGTAAGGTTCACAGAGTTTATAATTCTGTTAGATTTGGGTGGGAGTGTCTCAATTCAGCAAAGATAAGGAATCCCTGAAAATGTTCCCTACGTTAAAATTTTAATTGTTTCCGTTTTCAGTTCATTTGGGTGCAAAGAACAGCGCAGTGGAGTTTAGACTGATCCATTCAGACGGGGTCCTTAGCAGTGTAGATACACTGAACATCACTGCACTCGCCACACGCTAATGTGTTTGTCTTCAGCCTGTTGTCTAGGACTTTGCTATGTTTTGTTGCTTATTGTGGCAAAGAATCACCAGCTTTAACAGGAATGGGCAGCATAACAGCATTACTGCTGTTTTAGAGTGAAGTGCTTGAAAATGAATCAAATCCAAAAAAATATTATCCACATTCAAAGGTAGAAAACGTCCTTTTGAATGTATAAAGCCTTCTGCGGCCCCTAGAACGTTCCTGGCCAGTTAGTTACTAACCTTATCACAAACGACTGCTTCCTAATGGAGGGAAGAACGTGCCGTCATCGCTGACTGTAAACAAACAGAACAGTAGTTTATCTGTTTACTTAATGGAGCGCTGGCGTTCTGAATGAGGTGATATGTTTTTAGATTAAGTAAAGCTAATAGCCAAAAATATGTCCTTGTGTGATATAATTGAATGGCACTCGCTTAAAATGTGGACGCTTTGTAGCTGCTAGCTTAGCTGTGTAGCTCTTTTTCTTACATCAGCTGTATGAAACCAATGCCACTAGGTGTAAACAGGGTCTTAGGTTATGTTCACTTTACGAGGTCTCAGCAGCGTGAAATTATGATTAATGTCGAGTTGGAATGACGTAAAAGTCGCATGAATTCCGATATGGCTGTTCTGAGTCGCGCTGCTGCATATCGGATACGTATCGGATTTCAGTACTGCATATGAAAGGGTACGTTCACACAGCAGGGAAAAGTGGCCCAAATCTGATCTTTTTCCTCGTATGTGCTACAGATGTGTGTCTGTGTGTCAGTGTGAACAGCAGAAACACACATTGTCCGTTCCGATTTGAGACGCTTTGCGGTACTGAAATCTGTTACGTATCCGATATGCAGCGATGTGACTCTGAACAGCCAGATCGAAATTCATGCAACTTGTACGTCAATCCAACTCGACATTCGTCATAATTTCCCACTGTTGAGACTCAAACATTTGGGCTGATGGTTCTCCAAACCGCTCCATGTTCAAAGAGATTTCTAAAGAATTGTCCGAACGCAGCCGCAGGAGAACGAGGCTGCAGCGTCAAAGAACAGCTGAAAGTCTGAAAGCAAGGAATCTGAGGACGCGAACCAAAGACGTGACCAAGCCAGTCGAACACATTCTGGGTGATGAGCCCAGCTGTCAGTCAGTGAAGCTTCATGATGGCTCCTGTGATGCTGGTGAAGATGAAGCCGATCCTCCGGGAGCGACTGGCGTTCTTTGGCAGTCGTGACTGTTTACCTCTGGATGAGCCGTGAAGCAGCGTGACGCTCTGTTCTTTTGCACATGCGGCTCAGTTTAGGAGCTGATCTGTTCAGACTGATGTCTCATACAGATCACATTTAAAAGATAATCTGAACAGCCAAACAAAAAAATCAGATTTGGTGAGAAAATCAGATTTGGGCCACTTTTACCTGCTGTGTAAACGTAGCCTTAGTGTTCCTAAGAGATCAGAGTCTTGGCTCTGATCTCTATAATATGTTGGCTCAGAGTCTATAATATACACAGAGCTATAAGATGCGTTGTTACACTTGTACTGTTCGGTTCTAAGGTCTCTGGCTGAATCATCAATGCCGATCTACATTCAGATGTCCCTGAGGCTGCTTCCTATAGGGATAAATGCACTGACACACTTGAACGGATAATCATCTATTCCTGCATATGGTGCTCATACATTATTGACAACGTCTCATCGGCCTTTTCTCCTCTGTATAATGCAGTGCAACGCTGTTATCAACGTTCCTCCAACCCTTTTCACACCCACCGTTCACATTACTGTGATGTAATTTGAGATCACTGTGTTAATTTTTATAAATAATGGCTAATCAGGTGTTAGGTTTGTACTATGTGCTGCAAAAAGCCTTGTGAGGTGATTATCTGTTCTCATAAGCCAAAACAGCATAGATTTGAGAGTTCACATCTTTCCAGACCTTCCTGTTATAAAAACTTAACACCGCAACAAGTTGGACCTGCTGCCTGTATTCATGTAGTGGAAAGAAATGTCATCATGCACCCTCAGGCTGCGTATTGTCCTCTGTAAGGACAATGGAGCGAGGCATGGCTACTTTAGAATGGCTTAGATCACATTACCCTCTTCACTGAGGTGACCTTTTCTAATAAACTCCTTCTCATAGGCTGGTAGTGATTCG